CTTACCTTTTATGATAAATTATATTATTCTTAAAATTTCACAAAATTAATCTTATTGGTCCATTTTGAATTTAAAATAAATTTATTTTCATTAAAATTAATAAGCCAAGTTGTTTTATATTAGGACTCTGAGCACCCTCATGGTTTGTGAATTATTTATTTTGTGTTGATAACTAACTTTCCCCTGTTTGTTTATTTTCAATAGATTCTATCTGTTGATATTTCTAGACCATCTATATTATCTAATTACTGTGTCGTTAGAATTTTTCTAGAAGCTGGTCATCGTAGTTTTACCAATATGTCACAGCCATCATATAACTCTTCTCTTCTACAGTTCTGCGGATGTTTCTTGCCCTTTTTTCTTTTATTAAATGACAGTGTCTTTTGCACTTTGAAAAAATTTGTTTCCGTAAATGCAATCATTTACATGTGGATAAAGCTTTCAAAGCTGTCATTACATTATTGCAATTGTAGATGTTAGCAGTTTTACTATAGCTGCTATAGTTTTAAAGGAACAACTATACAGTGATGCCTTTAAAATTCGTACTCAGTTGGGGGACTAGAAGGAAAGGTCTTCTTTCGGTCACACACTGAATGACGTCCATTTATCTCTGGCACTAATATTTTGGAGTAAATATTATATTGCGTAGAGTTTGAGAATGATGGAGGACACTTGGAGTGTCAATATTATATTCAAATACAAAATTATCTTTCCTTTTCTAGTCGTTAGTTTCAAGGCTTTCTATTGTCAACCCTCACTCAGTGTTACAAGTACCAACGTTTTGCGCTTATTACTTTTCAGTGTAGGACTCACAGAAATGCTATACTGGTAAAGAGCAGCACTCTCATCTGAATTGTACAATGGATTCTCTGCCATTTTGCAATCTTTCCAGACAGAAAATAGACACGGCATTGTGAATTGTAACTTTCATTGCTTCAGAAACACTTCATGCATTAAAAGTATTTATCAGGCTGCTCGTATGTCTATTATGTACTACAAATTTGCGATGACAGTATTACTCAACATTTTGTAATTGAATGCACTGGCTTTAGGTTCATGATTAGAAATTAATTCTTCTCTAAATAGGCCCCTCATCTGTTATATTCATATGTGAAACCTGGCTATATATTCCTCCTGCTTGCACATTTATTGTTATGTAGTTTACTCGATTTACAGATCACCCCGAGAGCATAGTGGCTTGTATTGTCTCATTTGGCGGGTCTTTCCCTTTTCTTTTAATTTCACTACAAACATTTCTTTATTGGTAACTATAGGCATGTTTTATGTGGCTTCAAATGTTTTGTTATTTTAAATGTCTAGGTTTATATTAAATTTAACAACCTTATTTCTTATAATCTTAATACTAGATATTTCTTTCTAAGCTGTAAAAATGTAAGTAACCATTGATGTCCCATTGATGCTACAGGTCAGATCTCTCGTTGAAGATTTTTATATTTGATGAATTTCGCCCAAATCAGTTGAGAACTATCTGCGCTAGATGTATCTAATTTTGAAGTGATAAACTAGAGGGAGGGCTGCTTTTGGACTACTATTTACAAACGAATCATATTGTCCCCACAGCTGAAAGGGTGAGCATGGTCAATATTTCCATCCTACGACCAGCATGTTGCAAGTCGAGCGCCCTAACCACCAGGCCATGCCACGCTCCTTCATTAGGAGAGTGGATTAGTTGTCCTTAATTACGGCTTCTCCAGAAATTTTGCTCCTTAAAATGGTATTTTATGCATTGGATTAACCCATATTTTATATTCATGTGAATAGCACATGTGAATGTAGATCTTTCTTGTAACAAAAAAATTCCTTGTATAATGGCAGTTTCTTTTGACCTGACTTGATTGCTCCTACTCATCAGTTTTCTGAAATGATTTTTTTAAATTTACTTTATTCTCTATTACTGGCATTATGGCTTCTTTTGGTATGTTTCTAATTCAGGCTACCCAGTTACTGACTCATTCTTATTTACCATGTTTGCTTCATTGATGTTTTCCGTGGTAGAAGTTCATTGCAAAAAATTATTGCCTTGATAGTCTTCACGAATCCATTTCATTGCTTTGTCGTGGCTGTATTTTTAGATATTTAATTTGTTTTTGACGCTATAAGGGTGATGGGTTGCTTCAAAGTTCCATTTCTTGGCTATAGGATGAGAGGTTTCATTTTACAATGTACACAGTTTTTATCTAAAATGTCACTTTTTGTTTTAAAACAGGCAATACTTATTTGCCCACCTATCAGCAAATTAATGTAGAATCGCAAGGATTAAGCATTTACAACAGCATTTATGAGATTTCCTCAGATCCTGAGCTTAGAATAATTTTTCTAGTATTTATACAGATAATGTTGCAGTCTGACAACATATGGTGATCTTGTTCATAATTACTCTCAGGTTTGTTATTTTGTTCTTTCTAGTGAGTTTGAATATCACTACTTGAGAATTACATTAGATGAGCTCTTAACAAGCGTTTTTGCGTTTTCTGCCTAACGTCAACACTTAAACCGCAAATATGCTATCACTGTGTTCTTTTGGGAATCTGATAGAATCACCTAGATACACTTTAACCGACAGTTTATCCATACCCATTTCAATTTATTCTATGAGTGTTTACTATAGTGCACTGCCTCCTCTACCCTTTTATGCTAGCTTACCTTAATCCACTTCACAGCATTGCTTATGTGTCTGGGTGGTATAAATGCACCCTTGTCTTTGTAAATAGCAACTACTGAACAACCTCTCAGTCTTCACCTTGATTTTCTTCTCGTCATATTTTGATATTTTTTACTCGTTAATTCTGGACCTCTCTTTCTTGTTTTTACCCATGGCAAGCTCGCTGTAAGTTCTGTTGTTGGAAGCCAGGGACCTTCCTTGTGCACTTAACTTCTGTGTTAGTTGATCCTATACAAATAATTGAGTCTGCTGTTTTCTTTATTCTTCTCCTATTAGTTTGGTACACGATGTCTTTTTTTGGTTAGACTTTAACTAAATTCTGTCGCTATACTCATTTTTTCCAGTTTTCCTCAACTTTTCAACGATCCTAATTCTGGATTATTGATATGTCAGTTTTCTAGTTTACTCTATTGGTATTTTTAAGCTTTCGCCTCCGTGATCACATTGATTTTTTCTATTTAATAATTGCGCTTCTATTTATGCTGAGTAGAACTGCTTCAGATGATTATTTCCAATCTTCTATAATTATCCTATCCTATCTTTCAAGTTTTAACGTATGTGCTCTGCTTTGGCTTAGGAAGATCACTACCTGCATTTGCAGCTGAGTTAGGTTTGTCTGTGTTTCAGAGCACGATATTATTTTAATTCATGGATTTTCTCATGATTTTCGTCAACTTTTATTTCTTACCAGATCTGATCTGGTCTTCCAGATGAGCCTTTTTCTCCCATGGAACATTTCACTATTACTATTTTCCCCTCTCTTCTCCATATGATTCATTTGGTTCTGTTGAACAGAAAACTTGACATAATTCACACTCGTCAATATCTGGGTACTTATGATCTGATTTCTGCTTTGTATATAATTCTAGTTAAGAACTCTCATTATTTGCACATATTGTGGTAGCATTGCAACGAAGATTAGCTAAGTTCGTATTGAATACTAAAATTAGTCACCTTTTAAATTCGCAATTCATCATACTTTTCAGAACATAAATCTGTATTTTACTTTATTAAATTTGCTTGGACTTGGAAGTTTCCACACTTTCAGTACCATTTCAGTTGCTACATTTGTTGTTGTTTTTTTTCAAATATATTTTTTATTCACCTTCTTTTACTTTTTTTTTAGTGTGTACATAACTTATTCCCACCTATTCATGCTTAGTTTTCTGGATAACATAGCCTGAATTGTTAGGGATCAAACTCGGTAGAGTTGACTTTCCCTTTCTCAGAATAAGTATATACTCGTAAACTTTTTTATGTTTATATCATCAAAGTTATAGTGATTAAATTTACCAAAATACCACGAAATAATATTTGTTACACCTATTCTTCCTGCCATGAAAGAATAAAGAAAGTAGTTGCATTCCTTTTTAACTACTGCTGTTGCTTTGTATGGGTAGGCCTATAGATACTTCAAAATGATCAGCAACATTAATAATGAACACTTGTTAAAAGTTCAAGAAGTTCTGCACGTAAAACATCTAAAGCCAAGTTCGAATGTGAACCGGTTTTCATTCCTGTCATTACATTTTCAGTTAATTCTAATAACATCTTAATATATGTTGTAATACTCTATTTTCTAGTTTAACTTGTTTACAAACTTTGTTGTCTAAATTAAAGTTTGTAGCTTTCATAGAAGTTTTTTCTAGTAGGATAGTTAAAAGAGACTAGCGATTAAAAGCAAAAAGCCCTAAATGCACAAAAAGTGATACTCCTTTATCTAGGTATCAGTTTTAAAACAACTGAAAAGTTTAGCTCAATAAATAGTGTTCAGATTAAGAGAAATTCGAAATTATCTCCATTTTTTTTTCTATTGTGCTAGTCTTACTGATCTTATTTTCTTGCCATTAGTCGATTATACCGATTTTTACAAGAGGTCTTTACTCTTCTTATTCATTTGAATATATATGTTTACCCTATTTTCGAAATAGAATATCTGCATTACTTTTATGTAAGATCATTTTATTTTTGTCGGCATGCAAGTTTCAAGAATTGTGCAGTTAAAAGCGAAAATTAAGAGTTAATTTCACTTAGGAACACTTTATATTTTATTTATTCCTACATGATATTTCCATAGCCAAACAAAAAGTTTGTACTGAACTCCTATAAGGAGCTTACTTTGTCGAACAAGTGCTACTTTAATACCCACTATCGAGTGTACACGTTTGTTGACCAGTTACATTTGAAACATTAAATCTTATTACTATTTTACCTATAATATTACAATGAAATACATTAGGTTTCTCGACAAATAAATACAATTCTGGGATATCTTTTCGTTATTCAGAAAATAATTTATAATAATTAACACATCATACTTACATTCATGTGTTGATGTGAAAATTATCAGTTAACTTTCTGGAGAAAAAAGAAATACTAAGGAAGATAAAAGATATCTTTTACGAAGTTACATTTTGGTGACAAACATTCCAAGTATTCATCTCTCCACATGAATATTACATTAAATAGTCTTCAATAACTAGAATAGTGGTTGATTTCCAATTTCTGATTGTTCTTTGATTAGAGGAAATAACAAAGTCCTATTTTGAAGCATCAGCTATCCTGGTTGTTAATTTTTCCACGATACATTATCTCAAAACAACACTGAGTTCAGAGTACGTTTCTTTTCTTTAAAAAAATATTAGGACTAAGTAAGGTGCTATTCTCATATGGGAAACTTTACTGGCTCTCATATATGTCACACAAAGAAAAGTTGATTAATTTACCTCGACACAGTTAGAGTATTTGCTGTTTCATAATTGTTAATGTTTTTGCTTTTCTTAATCGATTAAGCTGTTGGTTATGTTTGATTGTCATATTCAGCATCACGCATGGAGACAGTATATTTGCTTGTGTTATTTCCACGGTATATCGAATAACGCTGAGATCTATTTACTAAACTTGGTGTTATAGCATGAGCATAACGTTTGGTTCCAATTGCTCCTCCTCAAGGATTATTCTAGACTTAATTAATCAGTGACGACGATGTGGCGTTTTAAATGTTGGGATCATATAATTGTCGACCATTCAACATTTGAATTAGCAGAAAACTAAAAATCAGCATTTACCAGTTTAACTGATAAATTGATACCAGTAAACATTCATTAACCAAGTAAGATTTGTAATACCGGTATGATTACATTGTTTAATTTGAACATATTGTTGAAATAACACTAGTGAGCTGAATAGTAAAAACACGGTTGTACCTTCACAACTTAAATCAAAATGAATAAGTTGTTCAACTAACACCAGAGATGTCGATGAGAGAAAAAAGTTAAGCCTCGGCTGGCAAAGTTTGATTCAGTTGTTCAATAAGATATATTTTTTATCTGACACCAGTGATTTTGTTGAGAAACCGATTGTGGATCTCCACCTTTAAAATCAGTAATATTTCATAACTGAAATAACACCAGTTAGACGTAAAGGCAGTTACTATTAATATCCACCATTGAAATTCAGCACGATTAAAATGTTTGTAGTTGAATACACTATTCAAGCGTCACCAATTAAGTTAATGAGGAGAAATAAATATCCACCTGCGAAATCAGCATGATTATATTGTTGAGACTTGAATACACATTGTAACGTAAGTGATTGGTGAGAAGTTATTGTTGACCCTCCATCTTCATGCTACTTCAATGAGGATATTACCAAATTTGTCTAAATGAGATCAATTGGAATGTATCATCTTGGGTTCATGGGTTAATTCGCTAGAAGGATGTTCTGCTCTCTATTATTAAACATCAGGGACTGCTTTCGAGCAAATCGGTCATCGTCGAAGGTTCATCAGTTTATCCATTTGAAAGACGTTCCACTCACAATATACATTCGCACATACCTGGGAATAATTTCGAGCAGACTGCTTTCGGTTTCGAATAAGGTCCTGAAAAAAAAATGTCTGTAAAAATACAATATTTATTTCTTGAATAACATTTGAAAAATGAAAAGGTTATTGTTATTATTACTGAAGGTAGCGAAAAAGCCAATATTAAATTAATGAAGTTATCTGAAATTAAGATATAAAAATTTCATGAAAAGGGTATAAAAACTATCTTTTATTTTGCAAACAAAAATTTAAGATTTTATTTTCAGTTTTCAATGTGTATAGCTACCACTACATTATCCATAGAACCTTTAAAATTAAATCATTTGACACCAAATGGCTGTGTTACTCAACAAATTATAATAAGAATGGGTTAATAAAGAATATCGATGAAGTATTTTAATTACTATTGAAAGTTGTTCAATAATTCATCACTAGGTTACTAAAATATAACGAATATTTATATTGCTTTTTTTACACATTTTCATTATATTAAAATAAATGACCTATTAAAATTTACTTTTAGGAAACGCTTGAAACAACTTCAAAATGCCCATTCTATCTTAAAAAATTGAAAGGCTGTGATAGCTACGGACTTGTTATGTTTATTTAGTGGTGGATGATTCGGAACTTTCTTTTTTAAGTAGCACTTAATTTTGAATAAATATACTTACGTAAAAGAAGAGGGACTAAATTGTATTGAAGATGTTTTCTATTTGCTGGAGAGAGACTTTTATTTAGATAAATATTCAGTTATGATTAATTACTACATCGTAAAATAAAATTTATGGTGGAACATTTCAAAAAATAATTAGTACTTTTATGCCAGTATTCGTAGAAACAACCATCCACAACATAAAATGAGGCATTCCCTTAAACCGATAGAATATTATTTCAATAATAACTAAACAGTTTAAATGTTAATAAAGTTTAAAAGCAACAAACTGTTTTACTTCAAAGTTGTTATATAAAAATCCTGATTGCCAATGATACTAAAAAAACATATAATTCATTCTAATACAGTTTACTAAAAAGAAAATAAATATCCTCAGAAGTTATGGCCTTTTACTCTAACATCATGGTTAATACAGCCTATATACCAATTATAATTGCAAAGTGTAAAAATAGCATAAAAATACATTGAGTTAATAATTGCTTAATTTAATAATGGAAATATAGAAATAAAGCCTCTATAAACAGCCAACACTACAACATTTGTGAATAAATCATGGACACTGTATAACTACGAAGCTTTAAAGACTAAGGGTTTAAGTAATAAACAAATGTATATATATATATATTTTAGTTGTATATGTGTGAATTTTATATGTATGTTAATACATCATATTTCTGAAAGCAAATGTGCTGGTATTAAATAAAGAGTTTTTTTTTCATCTTAAATAAATTAAAATACATATTACGTAAAATCTAGACAGTAGTCAACCTTCATATTAGTTTGGTTTATTTAATGTATAAAAAATGTTTTTGGTATATCAAGAGAAATGCTAATGTTTCAATTTTTTGGAAGTATAATGGTTAGAATGTAAAAATAAATTCATTCTAATTTTAAATAATATGAGTTCCAAAACTAGTTTTGATTTATTTTTGAAATTTTGATAATTTATGACACCACATAACATTTAAAAAGGAAACTATATATTGTTATAAGTATTTTATGTTGATGATAATTATATTTACTATTAAAGCACTGGTACTTCGGGAAACACATTTTAGATATATAAATCAACGCTTAACATCGTTAATTGTCTTTTTCTTTTAAAAGCGTTCTGCTTTCATTGATCAGCCAAAATAAACGGAATTGACATAGCAGGAAGTACAGTAAACATTTGTTTAATTAGTGTGAAATTATTTATTTAAGCATGGATATTTAATATGTCTTTTAAATTTCAAAAGAATCAAAAAGATGTGTTAAATATTGCATTTTCCAATATGTTGTTAAGATTCGTTTTATGTTGGATGTAATTTCTTCAACTTAAATACGTTTCACGTCACCTGATGTGAACTAAATAAAATAAAGCTCTTATCTATGGTGCATAAACAAAGCAAAGCTTGAGAGAACGTAAGTTTAACAAGACTCGAACATTACAGGGTTGATAGGGGAAACCGTTCCAGAAGAGAAAAGCGTGGTAGGGCTAAAACATACGACCTCATTCAGAATCTTCAAAATACTGTGGGCGAGGTGAAGCCAGGGGTGCTCTTGCTAAAATAAGAGGCTTTCTACTGGTGTGTGTGTGGTAGGGGGGGGGAGGGGGTTGTCTTCACCTGTCAGTCTTAGAGTCTAATCTTTACAGGCATCAAGTTTTCAATCTCCGTTGAATGTCAGAAGATGGCGCATTTGTTCTGTAAGGCATTAAACACAGTTAGATATTTTGTTTATTTTTACTTTTTTACGTTTTCTATTTATTAAACTGTTTGAAACACCTGGAAAGTTTCCAAACCCTAGCAAGCTCATGCTTCTATGGGTACCTCATCCATCACTGTGAGTTAAATAAGACATCTGGAAACAACAAGCATGGATCAACTCCTCTACTTGTTCAGATCGTAACCATGTGAAATATGAAAATAACAACGCTCTATGACAAGAAGATCATAAAATAGATATGTTTAAGAAGTAAATGTTTTAGTTGCATTTCTCTAGGAATACTTATAATCCAAAGATATTTTAATTCTCTCCATATTGAATTGTTTAACTTCACAAAAAAAATCTATTCAACAATTATCAAGTATTACTTTCTACAGAACAATAGTAATAGCATGATCTAGAAGTTAATCCCAGTTTAGAAATATAGATAGTATTTTATATGTTTCGTTATAATATTGAAGGTTTAATGGTATAACCACAGAACTACACAATTTTCACTGTGAATGTAATTTTCTTGGAAAACAACCAAAAATCTTCATTTTTCGAGTTCGTTTCAAGATGTCCCACCATTTTTCATTCTGTAGCTCTATATGTTACTTTCTAATTGTATATTTTGTGTAAAGTCACACTTGAGTTTACTGTTCCCTGTCCACCGCAAGTGAACGAATCCGGGATTTTAGCTTTGTAAGCCCACTCTGCTTGCAAACAATGTTTTATATCTGTTTGACCATAGTCCGGTTACTGTGAAAACGTTACGTTAGCAGTAATAAGGTAGCATTTACAAAAAACAAAACAAATATAGCAAAACTGTAAACAAAGACCTGAGTAAATAGCGCCGTCCGCCAGGTGAATATATTCAGTGCAATGTTACCTGACTGATAGATGACGTCATCGTACTATATAGATCAGACCAACATCTGTACGTGGCACGAGAATGTTTATTTTTAAATAGCTCAGTGAGTCCTGACAAGGAACTCAGTGCTATGACTGTACCTAGGGAATATTCAGTCGATGTTGTTGTTTTTTATATAATGAAGCAGAGAACGAAACTTAATTAGAGGTCTAACGAGGAAATAGTTAAGTTTGCGTGCTGTGTTAAACTATACGTAGAAATACCTCATGAAATAAATTGAGTAGTTTTTTAACATGTGACAGTTAAAATCGACTACAATTGCTTAAATATGTATATCAACTTAAGTGGCTTAATATGATCTGTTTTGATAAGTTGGCATTAAAATTAATTATTTGCCATTGGTTTATTGTCATTAACTGTTAGTTTTTAATATCTAGTAGAAGCCGTTACTTTACATCCGCTTTATGAGTCTAATATTGATTATTTTCAATATTTCCCAAATTTGCCCCGCCAGTGGCTCAGCTGTAAATATTTGGAATTATGACGCTCAAAATAGAGTTTCGATACCCGTGGTGGGCACAGCACAAATAGTCCATTGTATTGCTTTTGTTTAACCTAATTCTCAAACGTCTGATGCCAGTATTACGAAATTAGCATATATAAATATATATGTGAGTTAATGACAACAAAAAGCCTGTTGGTCCATCTAGGCCATCCTAACTGCTATACTAAATCCTAAAATAAAAGTAAAACCCTCAAAGTTTGTCCTCGTGATTCAAATATTTATCAAGCCTTCTCCTAAATTAACTGCATCTGAAAGCAATCCATTCCTAAGGCCAACCACCCTGTTAGAAAAATAAAGCTCTCTTAATTGAAGATGACTCCTACTCTGCCAAAAGTTATATTTGTGTCTTCACGTCTTGCCATCTCACCATTAAATACGAAAAAAAGATGGTGGATCAAAGTTATCAGTTCCCTTTACAATCTTAAACACCTGAATCAGATCCCCATTGCTTCTTCTTTTTTTCAAAAGAAACAGCTCCAGAGATCTTAAACTAACCTAACTATCCCAGGTATCATTCTATTCTGAGCTCTTTCTAACAGTTCAATGTTCTTTCTGATGTAGGAAGCCCAAGACTGAACATAATACTCTAAAAGTGTTCTAACCAATGACCTATACAGTGATATTACAATCTATTTATACTCGATTTCAATATTTCTGTAGTTATACCCGAAAATCTTATTTGTCCTACCACTAGCAACAGTATATTGCTTAGATGGCTTAAGAGACTAATCAACCAGAACATTAAGATACTTTTCTTCCATACCACTGCTTAGGATATTCCCATCAAAATTATATTTATAACGTAAATTGTGATATCACACGTGCATTATCTTGCATTTATTATAATTAAAATCCATCTGCCATTTATTCGCCACACTCACCAAATAATCCAAATACTTTTATAAAGCAGCAGCATTCTCCCGACAGCCAGCAACACTCAAAACCTTAATACCGTCAGCAAATTTAAATACTTTATTGATCATTACTTCATCTATGTCATTGATATAAATCAACAAGAGCAAAAGTCCTAACACTGAGCCCTGTGGTACCCCACATGTGACATGAATCAAGCTTTACTGAATTCTGCTTTTTTCCGTCCGACCAGTTTTCTATCCAATGATCCAACCTATCCTCTATACCTACACAGATAAGTTGTTAAATAAACCATTCATGTGACACCTTGACAAATATTTTCTGAAAATCCAGATACACCAAACCCACACCTCTTCAAAGGATCTCAAAAATTAAGACAAGATTTT